TCTTACATATAGTATTTATTCCATTGAGGTTGAGATAGTAAGCTATAAGGTTTTATTTTAAGCCTTCTTGGCCTATCTAAAACTCACGAATCTTTAGGTTATATTTAATTCAGATACCTCATATTTAATCTTGCCATAAACTCTTAACAATATAGGTAGAAACATTGGAAGAAAACACATCTTCTGAGGTTTTAAAAATCACTAACAAGTAATCTTGATGTCTAAAAGAGAACATAAATTTTTGTCAGGTGTCATATATATGATATACTATTAAGTATCTGATAATTCTTACAAGATTTTTGTAAAATCACACAGCTATGTGAAAAAAAGCTTTTTCTGCCACCTCTATTATTTCCTAGGATATAATACTTCAGATGGAAAAATCTCAGTAAAAATAACCATGGGGAAGCTATAGCTAATATAGCTAATATAATAAGTAATGATTATAATTATATATTCAACATATTATTTATAACTGTTATAATAATTAGTTGACATGGTTAATATAATATAGCTAAACTAATAGATATTAGAGAAGATTTTAAGAGGTGAATAGTATCTCTTTCTTCTCAAAGGACCAGGAAGCCACAAAAATATAATGGGAGTTTGGTGGGGGGAGTCTGAAGTAGATAAACAGAGTTTACCTGAAGCTTCCAGAGGAAACATGGAAACATATTACTGGAAGCCAAGGTCAGAGTTGGCAAAGAACTAAACACAAAATCTAAAAGGGAAAGAAGTAGGAGGAGGGGAAGAAAAAGTAAGGTTTCTGTCTTGGAGCCATAGAAGCAAGATATAATCCAGTATATAGATGGGCTGAAGATCACAGAGCCAGATATGGTACTGTGCTGACTTGAATGGGGAGACAGGAGATCATGTGCTGATTAACTAAGAGTTAACAGCCTCTTCTTAAGGAGCTTATACCAGTCTCAGACATTTCCAAATTGTCCATAAGCATATTACACAGGTTGGTCAATTATTGTCTAAGGGTTCAAAATATGATTTGATATTGCCCTTCCAAAACCTATAAAGTTCAGAAATGTTCTCGTTTAGGCCTGGTAAACACATCACCTTAATTAACTCAATAGAGCCTTGGTTTAATATTCCCTACTACTGATTTCACATCAGATGTGAGCAGATACTGGACAAATCAGAGAAGTAGAAAATAGTCCTCTGAAGAGGAAATAATTAAGCTAACTGGACATTACTGTACATGAGCCATGAAGCCATGTACTCTGACTGTCATTCAGGCATCTCTGAAGGCAGCCTGAATGATTTACATTAAATATGGGAAAATACTGTTACTCATAGCATCAGGAAGGCAGGAACTGTTAAACATAACCAAAAAGCACATGAATCAATTACCATTTCCAGAAAAGAACACTAATTTAGGAAATAGATGTCACTCTCACTTATTAAGCAAAGATATGAAAACTTCTCTCTCAACTAAATAGACATGTTTAAAACTTCCAAGGCTCCCGTGGGAATTCCCACAGGATGCTCATTCTTGGATCTCTCCCCAGAATACTCAAAAGACACTTCCTGCAAGAATGTAAAAGGCACTTAACTTTTACTGAGCACTGCCTGACCTGAGGTTGTATCTTCTGCAAATTAAGTCTCGTGATGTCTGAGTAAGAAAATTATAAGGATTATCAGTAACCGCTGACAGCATTTCCAGATACAGGGAGGAAAAAGTTTCTTAATATTTTGAAGTGTTGATTTATTGATGTGGCTTTGGATAACTCTTTTAACATTATCATCTGTATCCAGTTAACTCTAAACTGCTGCTACACACAAGGCTAAGTTCCCTTCAGATCACTTAGCTCCACTGGTCTTCCTCATGGCCCTAAATGTAATGGGAATGTATCCACAGGGGAAGCAGGTGAGAGACTAAAGATCAAACCACTCTGGGGAAGGAGTATCCATCAAAATGCATGACAAGTAAGATGTAACAATCATACTTTTTGGAAGCACATTTCTTACCACTACTAACACTAATGTTACATTACTAATTGATATTGATAATTTGTATAATTATTATTTAGGACTAGTAAAAATAATGTCTATTAATGCCTTAGAATAATAACCATACCAAAACATACTTCCTATGTGGCACATCTCCTTCAAATTTTTCAAATATTTTCCCCTCACAGGGTCTGAAGAAGGATTCTTACAATAAATCAAGTTGTCACATAAGCACAACACTGAGATAAGCATACTACAGACCAGCAAATTCCACTATAGTTTAGTGACCACCAAAACAGAGATGGAAGACAGCCTCTAAATTCTTCTACTGATCTACCTGTTTACTTAGCTTCTGCTTACTGAGGTTGTATCTTCTGCAAATTAAGTGTCGTGATGTCTGGGTAAGAAAACTATAAGGCTTATTAGTAAGACTTATAAGTCTTAAGACTTTTTTTTTTTACTATCTACTCAATGAATTTGAGCCAATAATTGCTTAAATATGGCTTCTTCCTATGAGAAAAAATAAACACACATGAATTATGAATGTATTTCATGTAGTCTTGTCAACTTAATGAAAGAAATAGAATATAACTGAAAGTCATTTCAACTAAACTTAATCCAAATATCTACTCTAGAGTTAGAAAACTTATATTTTCAAAATAATCAGTCCTCTCTTTTTGGCTGCTTTACCTTGTAGCTAAATGACATTGAAATGATATGAAATAATCACTTCATACTGAAAAGTAAGAAAAAATACCATCTCCTACTTGTAGGACATTTCTTTTGTATTTTTCAAAAGACTTAAATAACTCCACTTCTAAGTTCTTATTAATGATATTGTCTTTGCTTATGCATAAATTTGGGCAACTATATGTAAACATTTCACCTACTATTCATCTTAACAACACAATTACACTGGATGTTTTCCCTCATTTCTTTCAGAAGTACCACAGAAGAATAAGATACTGACTTCAATTCATAGCACTGTGTCTTAATAAACATTTATTGAATAAATAAATGAACCTGGAAAGTCACTCCAGTGTTTTCCAACCTTTTCCATTTCATGGCACACTTGAAAAATGTTTATTAGGGTACTGAGTAAATAAATGAAACACCAGGTGGCTCAATGCTACCAGCCAAGGACTTCTGGCACCCTGAGCTTATACAACTACCTGGCTGCCTGAGAGCTGAAAGAGATAATATTTTGGCACCTTTAACACATTTACAGCATTTCAGTGTTCCCAGAACACTGAGACTAATTGAGAAACTGAGAGATTCTCATCTATGTATTTTTCTGCCCATTTAGCATACTCCCACTTTTATTACCAGGAAACTATTTTTCCTTTAGGGAATCAACCCACCTTCATTCCACATAATCATGGTGGCACAGACAATTCCAGGGTCCTGACATTTCACTGACCTCCATTCTACACAGGATGGCCAATTAAAGTGCCCCCTTATCTTGCCATAATGATTGATTTAGTGTATACACATGACTCAAGCAAGGTCAAGCCAAGCATCTCTACATCTCTTTTCCTTTTGGATTGTGAGTATAAGATTATAAGGCTTTGGACTTCCAACCAATTCACAAAGGAAAGAATGAAACTGTCCAGTGAATATTCTGTCTAGCCACAGTTGTTCTAAATTCTAAAGCTAATAAAAACTAAGACAGGGGGGTTTCTGTTACTTGTAACTAAATCATTACCTAGAATTTCAAAGACCAAATGCATTTCCTGAATATGAATATATACATACATATATATATTCATGTAATATATGTTTTATATCAGTGGCATACATACATCAGGTAACCTACTGTATGTCTTCTTTAGATAATCTCCAGGCCCTTTGTCTGTGCATTAACTATTCTAAAGAGTTTACCCTACAAGGTGTCAACACTGAAAGAAAACCTTTGGTAAAAGCAGGATCATTACAGAAAGTAAAGGGAGAAATAAAGTAGGAAGCAAGTTGAAATGATTCACATTATGCATAAACCCTGAGACAAAAGTACTTTGAGTACATTACAGATGCACCTGCAGAATCAGACCAGAAGTCTGGTCAGAAGGAAAACTTTATATAAGATATCAGCAGTTTACTAAACTGAAAGGAACAAGTATGACAAGTATTGGGGATAAAAAGGAATTCCAAGTATATTAACTTCATATATTCAACAAAATTATTCCATTTCTACCAAATTTTTTCCTATAGAAACACATAATTTTCTATAAAGAGATGGACTTCTTCACCATGATTTAAAAGAAACACAAGCATAAACACTAATGAACAGAAGATAATAAAAATACCATACCTACTTGATTAAGAAACACTTCCCTTCACAGGAAATGAATTCTAGAGATTCTATCCAATAGGAAAAAATTACAGATTACTCTGCCAAATATATGGTAAGTGTTCAAAGGAGTGGGGAAAAGTCTTACTAATGCCTACAGCTTTCTTGTTACATTCCAAGTTCTGTGCAGATAGGAAGAGTGATTGTTTTTTCCCTCACATCCCAGCATGTGACTCAATGCCACATATAGCAAGGACTAATATGCTTTAGCTTATTAAATGACTGAATGAAGATAGAATCAAATTGTAAGAGGTTAAAGAGAGATTAATACCTATTGTATAGGTACCTTTATCCTGAATTAATCTATGTCCACTTTAAAAGATCATCAGTTTTAGAACTAACGGATATGAATCTTGGAATAGGCTGAAGAGTTAATAAAAGAGTTAATAAAAGAGTTAATAAAACAAATTAGCAAATGCACTAATAAACAAAAATACAATAATCATGTGCAGATATCCTGGTAAAATGTGCTTTCATTATAAGGAAATGTTTGCATCATTAAGTATACATCAACTCAGAGTAAGGAGAAAAAAAGAAAAAATTGGGAAAGTAAAGACAAAAAAACAAAACAAAACAAAAATCAACCCACCATTTAAAACCTTAATAAAAATCACCTACAAAGTAAGAATCATCTACAATTCCAACAGTTAAGCCTTACCCCCATTACTGTTCCACTATTTTCTTGCTTTACCTGAGAGGAATCTGCTTGGGCTAGTTCTGTAGTGACCTTCAGTATTTGGCGGAGATTTTGTCCTTTATCTTCAACAAGGAGATGAGTGAGCAGAAGAAGAACGTGCCCAGGGATCACTGTGGTAATAGGGAGCAATGACTCTACTGAAGCCACCCAGTCTCTTGCTGCAGACTCTTCTCTCATTACTTCAAGGACCCTCCAGGCTGCAAATACTGAACCATACATGCTGGTTATGGGGAATGCAAGCTTGTAGGAGACCTGAAAAATAAACACAAAAAGGGTATGAATAAATGAGGTAAGTATATTTGTCAGAATATTCTAACATCCATTTATTTGATATTTCATTCTAAGAAATCAATCCTTCCAACAAAATGAATACAAAATTTTCAATTCCTAACAAAAATATCTCTGAACAAAGGGTTATACTAAAAGAAAATAGTCATTAGATGGAACTCTAGAATAGTTTATCACTGTTACTCATATTTACTGAGTTAAGGGAAGTTAAGGCTGAAAAAAAATTGATCAATACACAAGGTTTTGAGGCCACAGAGTTTGGAAAAGCCATTATCACTAAACAATTATTCACCAGTGAGAGGGAAGATTTGGGGGAAAAAAAGAACACTATACTGGCCCAATTCCAGGCCCTAGTAAAAGCAACCCCAGGCAGACGGCAGATTTCGACTGAGGCTCATTTTTGTAACAGTATGTTGATAGGAACAGAGTTGTTCATCTGGAACCTGGGAACTCATTAATAATTGTGAATAACTTCTGTAATAAGAAATAGCTTGACAGCTCTAAACTGAAATGATACCCAGAAAAGATGTTATATTTAAGTCAACCTGAGAAATGGCTCCTCATGGAAATAAAGTAGTACAGTCAGGAACAGAGAATAGATAGAACTCTGCCAAGGTGAGCTATGTGCCCAAATGGGTCAGAAGAAGCCAAAGACATTAAAGCAGCACTAGATACTGTCTGCTAATGAAATACTTCAATTCACTTAGGAATGTGATGAGACAAATTAGAAATCTCTAGATTTTAACTGTCTTGCTATTAGAGAATGACTTAGATGGATAAGAGTAATAATTAAAAGGGTGGGAAGTTAAACTTTATAATATTTTTTAATAAAAGCCTGTGCTCCACACCAACTCCTTGCAGTGCAGGTCCTTGGACCAATTCATGCGCGGCGCGTGCGTGCGTGAGTGCGTGCGTGTGTGTGTTGGGAGTAGGGGGGTTTCTTTCCACATCCAACATCAAGCAACTCTTGAACATCAGCAAGGTGTCCAAGAACTCAATTCTGACATTATATCTGCCCAGAGAGAGCACCAGATTCCCCAGGTTAAGGGCTCAGTCCCACAAGACTGCCCTCTACCCCTGGCTCCAGACACCAGTCGCAAGCCACAGACTGTTGTTACCTCTGCTTCTAACCAACCTTTCACAGACCGCAAGTTCCAAGGACCTCTATTAATTTGCTAGAGCATATGGGTAAAGAGAAACAGTCCATCTCCATATCAATAGGTGACAAGTTGGGTGGGGAGCAAGAGGGCACCTTGACAGGAGAGGTTTGGTGGGGTCCTTTTGCAGCTGGGTTGTGAGAAACACAAGCAAGCAGAAGGAGACAACTGCTTGTACAAAATAAACAGGTTTCTCCCACTTAATTTTTCCTTTTGACTGATTTTGGTTTCAAAGGTTTATTTGCCCCGGGCTGGGAACATATCTTCTCTGCTGGAGTTGTAGAGAGGCTCACAGAACTTAGGAAACCACTTGGGTTTACCGGTTTAATAGATTCCCTAAAGGATATAAGTTAACAGCCAGATGAAGAGATACACAGGGCAAGGTCCCAAATAAAGGAGCTTCTATCCTTGTGGAGCATGTGGCCTGGCTCAGTGGCATGTGGAAGCACTCTGGTTCCCCAAGCATGGAAGCTCTGTCCAACAGAGGAGGAGGATGCAGAAGGGGAGATGTGCTCTTCTCAGGGGTTCTTATGAGGGCTTCATTGCAGTCATGATTGACTAAATCATTGGCCCTTGGCTGATTCAACCTCCAGCCCCTGGGTGGGGTCCAAAAGCCTCAATAACATGACAAGACACCCATTTCAACTTTAAGGCTCTTAAGGGTTTTCAGGAACTGTGGGTGAAGATCAAATATACCTGAGAAATATATATTTGGTCATCTGAATGACCAAATATATGTTTCTTATAACTCATATCACACAGCTTTATTGCAATATAATTAATAAGCCATAAAACCCATCCTTTTAAAGTTCACAACTTGGTGGATTTTAGTAATTCATAGAGTTGTATAACCATCACCACTATCTGATTTAAGAACATTTTCATTATCCCAAAAGGAAACCTCATACCATTAATGGTCACTTCTCATTCTCAATCCCCCCGGCCCCTGGCAACCACTAACCCACTTTCTGTTTCTATTCTTACTTTTTTATGTAACAAGAATGACACAATATATGGTATATATGGTCTTTATGACTGGCTTCTTTCATTTAGCATGTTTTCAAGGTTCAGCCACATTGCAGCTTGCATTAATGCTTCCTTTCTTTTCATTGTCAAGTAATACTGCATTGTATGGATATGCCATACTTCGTTTATCCATTCACCAATAAGCATTGGGGTTGTTTCTACTTTTTAGCGAGTATAAATTATGGTGCTGTGACTAGTCCTGTAAACATTTTTTTGAGACATAGGTGTTCAATTATATTGAGGATATGATTAATAATGAACATTTATTTGAAAATAAGTGCCACTGTAAGAAATGGAGGAAGCTCCATTTTTTATATGAAAAGATCTCCCATATGAACATACAAGATAGTGATACTGTGCCTGGAATGCTAATTATTTTTTAAAAGGGCTGAGGGAACACACTATATTTGTATTTGTTTGGATATGCAAAGCAAAGCATCTAAATAAATACAGAAGAAATTAAAAACCACTCATCTTCATTTTCTGTTTGAGATGGTGGGATTTGGACAACTGAAATCAAGGGTTAGAGGAAACTTCTCATTACATATCATAATTTTTTAATCATTTTGTGGGTAAAATTGCAGTATTTCCAGAATCTCTCGCCTGGCCTTAGTGCATCTTCATATCAATAGGTGTTACCAAGGGGTGGAGAGAAGTAACATCTCCATATCAATAGGTAATTATAGGGGTGAGTGAGGGGAGAGGCTGGGTGGGGTCCCTTCTGCAGTCATCACGAGAGACATGGGAGAGCAGAAGTGGATGACTGCTTGTAAGAAATAAATGTTTTAGTCCCACTTTATTTCTCCCTTTGACTGATCTCAGTTTCAAAGGTATTTTGCCCTGGGATTTTCCCACAGGAGTTACACATTTAAATATATTTAAATTTTTAAAAATTAATTTTAAAAATTAAGTATCTAAATTTACTGTGGTTCTATGTCTAAACATTTTTCCCTCCAAGATGAAATCCATTCAAGGCTAGAGTCAAGTTCTTTAGACTAATGACAAACAGCATGGGACTTGAGATTTAAAAGACCAGGACTTCAGCACAGCAATGCTAGCCATCACTGTTAAACAATCTGAGCTTTTCTTTCCTCCTTTGTAAAACCGAAGTAACGACTACCTTCCTGCCCAGACTGAGGTAGCTAATGAAACAGTATCAGTAAAGTGTCTAGCACAATACCTAAAGTTATAAAATACAGGGAAATAGTGCTGTCATCTTTAGGAGAGAGAAATGAAATTGGTGGAGTGAATATGAAAGAAAATAATTAGAAGTCACCATTAACCATAAATTCAGTCAAAAGCAGCAACATTATTCAGACTTGTAAGAGTAAACATACTGAAACAGAAAAGCAATCCTACTTTATCTGAAGTACTATGTCCAGGTTTAGGCTTTGGCTTCTGTCTTTGCTTGCCTGAAGTTAGAGCAGCAGGAGAAAGGGACAATGCTGAATACATCACAAAACAGTCACTCTGTCTCAATGAGTGACAGCTGCCACTGGCACAGTCCCAGGGCAGGGATGAAACCAAGGGATTTCCCTCAGCACCAGCTACCAAATCCTGGCCCCACAGCCTGCGGGGGGACTTGTAAAAGTGCTGGTAGGCTCTGTGTTCTAGAGGAGAAAGTAGATGTTTAAAAATAAGACATTTATGTTAGGTGAATTATATCTAAAAGAAACCATAGAAAAATAACATGTAAATAAATATTAAATGGTTTTAAAACATCTTTTAGAGATATAAAAGAGTTGAGAATCTTTAGCCTAAAAAGCTTTTTAATAAAATTGTTCAGGTACATTAAATATTAACAAGACACCTGATAGTACTCTTTTGTCTAAAGATGACTGGAAAAGACACTGTGAATATAAGTGAACAATATAGATTTTTATTAACTTTAAATAACAATTGTCTATAATAGTGACTAGGCTTAATAAAAGTAGAACAAGGATTTGATCAAGAGAGCCAGAATTTTGATCAGGAGAGGAAGTATGGAAACTCTAAAAGTAGGACAGTTTTTTGCTAAAAGGGATTTAATGACTTACCAGACCAGTAGCAGAAGGCCGGACTAGATAAAGCCTAAAGTGGGGCTTTATGCTCTAGTAAAGAAAGTGGAAGAATCTAGTCAAGAGTTGAGACTCTTGGGAGTGGTTAATTACCATGAAAAGACAACCCACATATCCTCAGTATCCACATTATTCAGAAGACAAAGACAGACTTAAAAGACTGAGGACTTACTAATTCCTTTTAACTTCCAACAAAAGCTTTTAAGAAAACAGTTTACCTCAGCTGACTATTGACTTACTGTTTCCCTGTAAACCTGAAGCTCTGTTATTTACTCCCAAGTTCAGCACTAAGATGATAAATTTCTGTGCATACACACAAAAATCAAAATGTAGGCAACAGGATGTAGGCTAGGGAGACAAAGAGCCAAAGTCTGAATCTCAGCTCTATCCTTCACTACTTGTATAATGGAGGCAAGTTAGTTAGCCTCTCCGATCTCAGTTTCTTCACTTATTAAATGAGTATTATAAGAATATCATCAGGGAAATACAAATCAAAACCACAATGAAATAGCCATTTACACTCACTAGGATGGCTATAAGCAAACAGTAAATGTTGCCAAGGATGTGGAGAAATTGGAAGCCTCAGACACAGCTGGTGGGAATGTAAAATGGTGCAGCCCCTTTAGAAATCAATCTGGCAGCTCCTCAAACAATCAAAGTTATGGTATGATTTAGCAATTCTACTCCAAGATATCCACCCAAGAGAAATGAAAACATGTCCTCAAAAAACTCCATACGGGAATGTTCATAACAGCATTATTGATAATTTCCAAAAGGTGAAAACCACCCAAATGTTCATCAAAAGATGAATGGGAAAATAAAATGTGGCATATCCATACAATGGAACATTAGTTGGGCAATATATAGTTGCTTTTGGAGCAATAAAAGTGTTCTAAAATTGACTGTGGTGATAGATATACAACTCTGCAAATATACTTACTAAAAACTACTGAAGTGTATACTTTAAGTAAAATGCATGTGAATTTTACCTCAATAAATCTATTCAAAAATAAATAATAATCAGGCTCCTACTACACAACCCTTGGCAAGTTATTTATTTTCTCTATGCCTCAGTTACCTCTTTGGTACAATGAGACCAATAACATTACTACCTCAAAGAGTTTGGGGAAAAATATAATGACTTATGATATTACAAAGCACTTACAATGGAGCCTGAATATAAATCATGCTCCACAAACAACCTCATGAGACAGGAGCCATGTGGCCTACTTTGCCAGAGCCCAGAGAGCTTCAGCCACCAGGTCACACAACTGCAAATGGAACACCAGTCATGCACCACAATGCCTATTTCACAGTTATTGTGAGAAACAGGAATTGGCCCATGTAACAAATCCTGACATAGAGCACATGCTCAATAACTTTTTAACTTCAGCTATAAATAGGACAGCCATGATCTACTGCAAATATTTGTTAGGAGACAAATATTCGAAATGCTTTCTGCTTACTATATACTACCTCAAAGCAACTTTGAATACAACCTACTTTGCACTGCTTTATTACCAGGTCATACAGTTCATGCACTTTAAATTTGAATAAAGTACTTTATTCAAAAATACCAATGAATAAAATGCATGATAGACCCTAGCTCAGGCAAGCTGTCTCTAAATCTCTGTTGACTAACACAATTTTACAGAGAACTCTGCCCTACTACATAACTGAAGAAATTTAGCTTCCAAGTCTCTTCCCCCCTTTATCACACCCATCTACCCTCATTCGCTTCCAATAAAGCACAATTCTACCTTACTGGCTGTGCCAGCTATTAATGTATTATCTCTCAGCTCCAAATACACCCCTTCTTTGTCTTGCCTATGATACTGCATCCGTACCTTGTCAAAATTTCTCCTTCACCCTCTGGTGCAATGTTAGGCCTTGTTAGTAGAGCAGAGAAGAGGTGGTACAAGCATAGAGGAGGAAGGGGCTTTTTTTTTCAGGTTCCTGTGTGGTTTGGGGATTTCTCCTACAATGGCTGCCAGTGGTATGTGGGAGACCCTGGCAGGTGGTTTCCTGTAGATCCATTCAGCCAACAGCAGCCCACTCGCCCCACAGTGGGTGGCTTCCTACAGGCCAGCCCTGGTCTGCAGCACCCCAGCCAACTTCACCATCCAGTAGGCTATCAGACCCACATTCTTTCCAACTAGGTCATCTCCCAGGCTGGAGTGGGGAGACCCTCTTCATTCCTTTCTGTACTGTCAATCCTAGAAGTCATAGCTCCTCCCTACATTTATTATTACAATATTCCTTAGAGTCTCTTTTATAATTCTTAGCAATTAAACACCTTTTACTAGTTAATTCTTTGTACTTAAGTTTTGCTATGTTCAAATTACCAGTGTGATTTGTCCCTCCAGACCCTGACTCATACACTGGTGCTTTCTTTTTCCCCCACATTGTCTGGGGACAGGAGAGGCAAGATGTTAAGCACTTTAGAATTTACAGCTAGTGTTTGTTTTTTAAAAATCTAAGATGACACAAGTAGGTGGTTCTAAATATCACAGTTAATAGCCTAAAAGAAAAAGATCCTGTTTTCTACATATCACTACAGAATATAAAAAGCTTACTGGATTATGTTAATCTTCTGTTTTAAAGAGATGAATGGCTGGTTTGATATCTAACATTTTTTAGAAGAAGGTAAACTGTGTCTTATTTCATAGTTATCAACACTTTAGAAATGGACGGTAATGCAGAACTGCATGGCACAGCATATCACACCCCTAAAAATTAAGACACAGTGCAATTGAATAAGGCTAAAAGTGCTGAGGATGCAAAGAAGAGAGGGTAATGAATACTGACTCAGGGAAGCTGAGAACATTTGGGTCTTGAAGCATGAGTAGGTCAGGCAAAAGAGACAAAACAGCATTATGTGCAAAAGCAAAGATTCAGGAAGAGAGTCAGAGCATTCACAGCATGTTAAATGTATAGGTATGTTTGGAATACAGAGTTCTGGACAGGTGCAGAAGAAAAGCCAAGAATAAACTGTAGCCTAATATTTTTAGTGGTCACATGTCCACTCAAGGCCTCAATTAAGCAGCACACTATCAGGAGGAGGCTATTCATAGCCCGACAGTGCTCCTTCCTCCTCCCTCTTCATCAGCTGCTGAAGAGAAAGTCTAGCTATTAGTGTTGATGAGTAAGATTCACACACACCTGAGCAAATAGTAAGCTGAGTATGTACATATTGGAGTTTGGGGGATCTTCAGTAAATATCACTTGTGATTTTAGGGAACAGAACTCTTATAGTATATCCTGCCCTGCCTCTACCCCATTCAGAATCCAATAACTGTTCTGGGAAAATCAAGAGGGAAGGCAAAAGGCTACCAAAAAATGCAGGCCACATTTTGTATTTGTATTAGGGCAGATGCCAAAACATCCTTCTCAATGCAAATAAACTATTGCAAGTCTTTAAGTTTTAGTCAAATTTTAGTTTAGAAAGCTGTGGTATACATTTAGTTTGCCAATCTGCTAATTTCTGCAGCATGCTCAAACAAGGAATAACAATGCCTGGATTTTTGCTGCTAACACATTTAACAATACAGGATTAGAGGTATCTCTGCTTTTGCAGATGAAGCAACTGTGGCTCTAGCTTGTATTTATGTAATGCCTCTCTCCATGGAGACTTAAAATGCTTCTTCAGTTTTACCTTCTGCAATCCTCATTAAATCCCCATAAAAGTAGCAGCTGGCAAGTAACACTACATTTTATCAGAGGCAAAACTCAAAAAGCAAAAGAGAAAAAGCCTGACAAATGTGGGCCTAGAGCCCAGCCACTAACCAGACAGTGATGATACTTTCATGTTACGTAACAGAAACAGTGAGACTGACGAAGCAAAATAGGGTATGCCTAGCAAGCTGGAATAGGAATGAAGTGTGACGGGCCTGCTGTCTTCCAACTGAAGGCAGCAGAGTAGGGGCACACACAAGAGACATCAAGAGCCATTATGCCAGGGAATATGGCCTAAGGTGCCACATTCAAAAATGAAGTCTTAGTTTTTACAGATTCCAGAACTTCTAAGCATTCGTGATTTCCCACCTTGGACAGTCCTAGATCTAGCAATATGCTATGCTGTACCTATTAATATGACAAGAAAAAAGGATTCCATGCTCAAACATGTTGGAGAAGCAATAACTTAATAGAACTACAGTTGACACTTGAACCACATGAGGTTAGGGGCACCAATCCCCTGGCATAGTCAAAAATCCAAGTATAACTTTTGATTCCCCAAAAGCTTACCTATTAATAGCCTGTTGCCAGAAGCCTTACCAATAACATAAAACAGTCAATAAAGACATATTTTGTGTGTTTTGTATTACATTATATTCTTACAATAAAGTTAGCTAGAGAAAGGAATTTCTATCAAACTGTCATAGATTCCAAATTTTCTAATATATTTATTGAAAAATATACATGTATAAGTGGACCCAGGCAGTTCAAACCTGTATTGTTCAAGGGTCAATTGTAATTTCTTTTCTGCAGGATTTCTCAAGAACTTTAACTAGAAAAAAGATTACACAGCATTTCCAAAACTTATTTCAAAAGAGGACAACTCTCCCCTCACCCAGAAGGATATACTAACATCTGCACCACTGCTTCACAGACTGGTGAAGTTCATGATAGAGCTTAAATCTAAACAGATACTTCATCAGTAGGTGAAGTTATGTGCAGAGACATAAATCCCACATTAACACTTTCTTAAGAGAAGCAAAAATGAACTTATTACCTTTTGGTGGTCTTCTCTGTAGGACTCCTGCTGTACCACTTCCAACAGGTTTAAAGCCAACTGCTGCCTAGAAGGACTTTCTTCATCCATGGATATGCACTCTTCCAAGGCAGAAGAAGACAGGATCTGCAGAACTGGCATCACTAAGAGCAAGGAAGACTTTGGGATTTTCTGACCCTCAGGAACAGAGAGGAGCTGCAAAGCTATTAATCAAAATAATTTACATTTTTAAAAATTAACACCATAGCCAAACAATATATTATAAGAGTGATATGCAAAAAGTTTTTTGGATCAGACACATAACTAAGATAATCAATTGCACCTTTTTAGAAAAGGAACATAAAAGTTATCTAAAACAAGCTGTTAACATATATAACTGAAAACTTGATACTCTTAGAGAGAACACATATCACATATTAAAGTACAGATCAGTTGTTTTTGGTCACTACGAATTTCCTTAAAATACAATTTAACATACATCTTTATAATCTGTCAAATCCTACTACTGGCCTCAACCAGAGCCAAGAGACCAGAGTTCCTGATCAGCAAATAACAAGACCAATGTGCATGCTACCCTTATAAACTCAGCTGAGAATTATATTAAGAGATGCTTAAGTACACAAGGTGATATAGGGCTGTCCTTCAGCCATAATTGCTAAGAAGTGGATCAGGAGATTTCTCAAGGAGGTGACATGAGTAGGGCGGCGGAAATCTCCTCCCAAAACCATATACATTTTGAAAATACAGTAAATACAACTATTCCTAAAAGAGAGATGAGAAGATAGAGTACAACTGCCAGGCTACATCTACATCTGCGAGAACTCAGCATCTCACAAAGGGTAAGATACAAAGCCATGACCCGCTGGGACTAGAGCACTCCCCCCACCCCAGCTCACCAGCAGGAGGAAAAGAATCAGAGTGGGGAGGGAGTGGAAGCACAGGACTGCTAAATAACCAGCCCTAATAATCTACACCAGGAGCACAGACACACATTGCATGGTATACTGGATATTGGAGAAACAGAAAGGTAAAATCTGAGAGTGGAAACTGTGAGCGGGGTCCCCACAGGCAGCTCCCCTGGAACAAAAGTAAAGCGGGTGCTTTAAAAGTCATAAAGGAACAAGGGCTTATCAGGTGGACAAAATCATCCTGGCACACTCAGTCCAGCAGGCTGGGAATTTTAAGGAACTACAGGCACCCTAACCCCCTGGGTGGCAACACCACTCTGCAGCTCCTCATGGTGATAAGCAGCCTGCTGTTCATTAGCTCCTGCTGGTGCTGCAAGTAAACTGGCTGACCCACCTAAGCTGTGGGCCAGCCAGGGAGCAGCCCTGCCGACAGCAACCACACAGAGTCTTCTCCCAGCATGGAGCTAACTGGGCCAAACCCAGAGGCTGCCCCTGTGTGCAGCTGCCCAGCACAGGGAGAGGAAACCACTGTAAAGTATGGAAGGCACAAAGGGGTGCCATTCTCAAAGGAGAACACACACCACTCATCTGCGACCCCAGCAGTGCCCCCAGGCTATCACGAGGGCTGCCCCGCCCATGGCAGCTCAGGGGATTAACCCAGAGACTGCTCCCTGTGTGTGGGTAACAGGCACAAGCAGCGGAGAAGGGCAAGGCAACCAGCAAGCAGGAAGGGGCTTTGTGCTCCCAGCAAACACACGTATCACTCACCAGCAATCACTTCTATCACCATGAAAGGCAGAAAAACCTGGTCCAGTCTAAAATCATTCAAACACCAAAGTGAGAGCCTGGTGAGACAGATATAACCAATCTTCCTGAAAAAGAATTCAAAATAAAAGTCATAACCATGCTGATGGACCTTCAGAGAAATATGCAAGAGCTAAGGGATGAAGGCTGGAGGGAGATAACAAAAGTGAAACAAGCAATGGAAGGACTTAAGAGCAGACTGGATGAGATGCAAGAGATTGTTAATGGAACAGAAATCAGAGAACAAGAATACAGAGAAGCTGAGGCAGAGAGAGATAAAAGGATCTCTAGGAATGAAACAATATTAAGAGAACTGTGTGACCAACCCAAACAGGAAAATAATCACATAATAGGGGTACCAGAAGAAGAAGAGAGAGAAAAAGGGATAGAAAGTGTCTTTGAAGAAATAATTGCTGAAAACTTCTTAAGCTGGGAAAGGAAATAGTCTCTCAGACTATGGAAGCTCACAGATCTCCCAACACAAGGGACCCAAGGAGGACAACACCAAGACATAAAACAATTAAAATGGCAAAGATCAAAGACAAGGACAGAGTATTAAAGGCAGCCAGACAGAGGAAAAAGATCACATACAAAGGAAAACCCATCAGGGTATCATCAGAATTCTAAACAGAAACTTTCCAGGCCAGAAGAGAATGGCATGATATATTTAATGCAATGAAACAGAAGGGCCTTGAACCAACAATACTGTATCCAGCAAGATTATCATTTAAATATGAAGGAAGGATTAAACAATTTCCAGATAAGCAAAAGCTGAAGGAATTTACCTCCAACAAACCACCTCTACAGGGTATTTTAAAGGGACTGCTCTAGATGGAGGTACTCCTAAGGCTAAATACATGTCACCAGAGAATATAAAATCACACCAAAGAAACAGAACAACCAAATATCAACTAAAGGCAAAAAATAAAATCAGCTATCCACAAAAGCAGTCAAGGGAAACACAAAAGAGTACAGAATAAAACACCTAACATATAAAGAGTAGAGGAGGAAGAGTAAGAATGGAGAGAAATAAAGAATCATCAGACTGTGTTTATAATAGCATAATAAGTGACAAAAAAGTGAGACAGTTAGATAGTAAAGAACCTGCCCTTGAACCTTTGGTAACCACAAATCCAAAGACTGCAATGGCAATAAGTACATATTTATTGATAATCACCCTAAATGTAAATGACCCGAATAAACCAATCAAAAGACATGGAGTAATACAATGGATAAAAAAGCAAGACCAATCTATATACTGCTTACAAGAGACTCACCTCAAACTAAAAGTCAAGGAATGGAAAAAGATATTTCATGCAACTAATAGGGAGAAAAAAGCAGATGTTGCGGTACTTGTATCAGACAAAATAGACTTCAAAACAAAGAAAGTCACAAGAGATAAAGAAGGATATTACATAATGATAAAAGGGTCAGTCCAACAAAAGGATATAACCACTATAAATATCTATGCACCCAACACAGGAACACTGACATATGTGAAACAAATACTAACAGAATTAAAGGAGGAAGTAGAATGCAATACATTCATTTTAGGAGACTTCAACACACCACTCACTCCAAAGGACAGATCAAACAGACAGAAAATAAGTAAGGACACGGGGGCACTGAACAACACATTAGAACACATATACTTAACAGATATCTACAGAACTCTACACCCAAAAGCAGCATGATACACATTCTTCTCAAGTGCATATGGAACATTTTCCAGAATAGACCACATACTGGGCCACAAAAAGAGCATCAGTAAATTCAAAAAGATTTTGGTCACAGGCCACAAAGGTATCAAACTAGAAATAAATTGTAAAAAGAAAACAAAAAGGCTCACAAACACATGGAGGCTTAACAACATACTCCTAAATAATCAATGGATCGATGACCAAATTAAAACAGAGATCAAGCAATATATGGAGACAAATGAAAACAACAGCACAAAGCCCCAACTTCTGTGGTATGCAGCAAAGGCAATTTTAAGAGGAAAGTATATTGCAATCCAGGTCTATTTAAAGAAGGAAGAACAACCCCAAATGAACAGTCTAAATTCACAATTATTGAAACTGGAAAATGAAGAACAAATGAGGCCTAAAGTCAGCAGAAGGAGGGACATAATAAAGATCAGAGAAGAAATACACAAAATTGAGAAAAATAAAAAAATAGAAAAAATCAATGAAACCAAGAGCAATGAACAGAAAATAAACAAAACAGAAGAGAAAATAAACAAAAAAGATAAACCCCTAGCCAGAATTATTAAGAGAAAAAAGAGAGTCTACACACATAAACAGAATCAGAAATGAGAAAGAAAAAACCACAATGGACACCACAGAAATACAAAGAATTACTAGAGAGTACTATGAAAATCTATATGCTAACAAACTGGATAACCTAAAAGAAATGAACAACTTTCTAGAAAAATACAACCTTCCAAGACTGACCAAGGAAGAAACACAAAATCTAAACAGACCAATTACCAGCAAATAAATTGAATTGGTAATCAAAAAACTACCCAAGAACAAAACCCCCGGGCTATATGGATTCACTGCTGAATTTTATCAGCCATATAGAGAAGACATAATACCCATTCTCCTTAAAGCTTTCCAAAAAATAGAAGAGGAGGGAATACTCCCAAACTCATTTTATGAAGCCAGCATCACTCTAATACCAAAACCAGGCAAAGACCCCACAAAAAAAGAAAATTGCATATCAATATCCCTGATGACCATAGAGCAAAAATACTCCACAAAATTGAACAGCAAACAGAATTCAAAAATACATCAAAAGGATCAAACACCATGATCAAGTGGGATTCATCTCAGGGACACAACGATGGTACAACATTCAAAAATCCATCAACATCATCCACCACATCAACAAAAAGGACAAAAACCACATGATCATCTCCACAGATGCTGAAAAAGCATTCGACAAAATTCAACATCCACTCATGATAAAATATCTCAACAAAATGGGTATAGAGGGCAAGTACATCAACATAATAAAGGTCAGATATGACAAAACCGCAGCCAACATCATACTTAACACCAAGAAGCTGATACCTTTTCACCTAAGATCGGGAACAAGACAGGGATGCCCACCCTCCCCACTGTTACTTAACACACTACTGGAGGTCCTAGCCATGGCAATCAGACAAAACAAAGAAATACAAGGCATCAAGATTTGTAAGGAAGAAATCAAACTGTCACTATTTGCAGATGACATGATATTGTACATAAGAAACCCTAAAGACTCCACTCCAAAACTAGAACTAAGATTGGAATTCAGCAAAGTTGCAGGATACAAAATTAATACACAGAAATCTGTTGCCTTCCTAGACACTAACAATGAACTAGAAGAAAGAGAAATCAGGAAAACAATTCCAGTCACAATTGCATCAAACAGAATAAAATACCTAGGAGTAAACCTAACCAAGGAAGTGAAAGACCTATACCCTTAAAACCAACAAGACACTCTTAAGAGAAATTAAAGAGGACACTAACAAATGGAAATTCATCCCATGCTCTTGGGTAGGAAGAATTAACATTGTCAAAAGGGCCATCCTGCCTAAAGCAATGTACAGATTTGATGCAATCCCTATCAAAATACCAACAGCATTCTTCTATGAACTGAAACAAACAGTTCTACAATTCATATGGAACCACAAAAGACCCCGAATAGCCAAAGCAATCCTGAGAAGGAAGAATAAAGCAGGGGGTATCTCACTTTCCAACATTAAGCTGTACTACAAAGCCACAGTAATCAAGACAATATGTTAATGGCACAAGAACAGACCCACAGACAAGTGGAACAGGATAGTGTCCAGATATTAAGCCAAACATATATGGTCAATTAATATATGACAAAGGAGCTATGGATATACAATGGGGAAATGACAGCCTCTTCCACAGCTGGTGTTGGCAAAACTGGACAGCTACATGTAAGAGAATGCAATTGGATCATTGTCTAACCCTATACACAAAAGTAAACTTGAAATGGATCAAAGACCTGAATGTAAGTCATGAAACCATAAAACTCTTAGAAAAAAAACATAGGCAAAATCTCTTGGACATAAACATGAGCGACTTGTTCATGAAAATATCTCCCCAAGCAAGGGAAACAAAAGCAAAAATAAACAGTGGGACTATATCAAGCTGAAAAGCTTCTGTATAGCAAAGGAAATCATCAATAGAACAAAAAGACATTCTACAGTATGGGAGAATATATTCATAAATGACAGATCCGATAAAGGGTTGACATCCAAAATATATAAAGAGCTCATGCACCTCAACAAACAAAAAGTAAATAAACCAATTAGAAAATGGGCAGAGGATCTGAAAAGACACTTCTCCAAAGAAGAAATTCAGATGGCCGACAGACACATGAAAAGATGCTCCACATTGCTAATCATCAGAGAAATGCAAGTTAAAACCACAATGAGATATCACCTCATACCAATTAGGATGGCCACCGTCCAAAAGACAAACAACAACAAATGTTGGCGAGAATGTGGAGAAAGGGGAACCCTCCTACACTGCTGCTGGGAATGTAAATTAGTTCAATTTGGAAATTGTGGAAAGCAGTATGGAGGGTTCTCAAAAAACTAAATATAGAAATACCATTTGACCCAGGAATTCCACCCCTAGGAATTTACCCTAAGGATGCAGCAGCCCAGTTTGAAAAAGACATATGCAACCCTATGTTTATCGCAGCACTATTTACAATAGCCAAAAATGGAAGCAACCTAAGTGTCCATTAGTAGATGAATGGATAAAGAAGATGTGGTATATATACACAATGGAATATTATTCAGCCATAAGAAGAAAACAAATCCTATCATTTGCAACAACATGGATGGAGCTGGAGGGTATGATGCTAGGTGAAATAAGCCAGGTGGAGAAAGACAAGCATCAAATGATTTCACTCATCTGTGGAGTATAAGAACAAAGCAAAACCTGAATGAACAAAACAGCAGCAGACTCACAGAACCCAAGAATGGACTAACAGTTACCAAAGAGAAAGGGACTCAGGAGGATGGGTGGAAAGGTAGGAAGAAGGGGGGAAAAGGAGCAATACAATTAGCACACATAATGTAGGGTGGTAGCCATGGGGAAGGCAGTACAACACAGAGAAGACAAGTAGTGATTCTATAGCATCTTACTATGCTAATGCACAGTGACTGTGATGGAGCATGTGGTGGGGACTTGATAATGGGGGGAGTCTGTAACTATAATGTTGCTCATGTCTAATTGTACATTAATGATACCAAAATAAAAGATAAACTTAAAAAAAGAAGTGGGTCAGGAAAGTCTCAAAGTCTATAGCCAGGAGAATTCCCAGCATATTTTAACAAATGATTATTTTTTCAAACACAGAAATTCAATGTACACATCAAAAACACACATACAATTGAGCAGTATTTCAGTTAAATGTATAGTCTCCCCTAGATGATTAACCGAACTAATTAAGGGACAAACATACTTTTTCCACAGTTATTGAATGGACCCTGATTTACTGTAAGATGTTATTCACAGGCTTCAGAGCTAGATTATTAAAATAATTGACTGAGTTCCCCACTACTTCAAAAAAAATTGACGAGCCTTAAATCATGTCAATAAGTTGCTAGTATTTTATTTTAAATCATTTGGAAGTCAAACCTGAACATGGAATGAGGTACAAACACCTGATACCCTAACACTACTGACATTTTTTGCTTAAATTATCAATCTTAATCCATAATTGTCTGTGATATGAAAACTCACTATTGTTAACAAAACAAGAAATGCATATAATAGAAGTACTTTTATAAATTGCTATTTACAATAAAGGCTGGTGTCAGTAATTAGACACATAATATTGTAGTAATGCTGTGCACTTTTCAAATTTGAAATAATCAATATTCTCTTGGTTGTCCACTTTCCCAATATGCTAAACAACAGCTCTTCCTTTCTTTTCCACATGACATCCTGACTCAATAATTTCAATATGGTCTGTTCAGTCCTACTAAGGCAACGTCAAATCAGAGACCCAGATTAAAGAAAAAAATTCTCCTATCCAACAGTAATAAAAGTGTTGGAGTGTTTGATCCTATATCATACCATGAAACATGAGCCACAAAAAAAGGAGTGTAGCTTCAGAATTAGAAATGTGGTTTCTCTAGCACTTTGAATTTTGTCCAAAAACAAATCCCTTTATATGAAATATCCAGAAAATACAAATTTATAGAGACAGAAGGCAAAGTAGTGTTTGTCTGGGACTGAGGGTATGAATGAGGATTAACTGTAATGGGCACAAAAAAATTTTTAGGAGGTGATGGAAATATTCTAAAACTAGACTGTAATGCTGTTTGTACAACTTTAATTTACTGAAAAAAAACCACTTTATTGTACACTTAAATGCTGAACTTTATGGTAAATAAGTCATAAAGCAAAAAAGCTGTTTAACAAAATAACAAAGCTATGACTGTCAGAAGTAGCTGCACTGGCAAATTATACCTACGGGAGGATGACATGTGCACTGCTATAAGGAAGAAACAAAACAAAACAGAAACCAGCAAAAGCAGTTTGGGAAGGGACCAGGGAGGGGGCACAAATGACCCTTAGGTCAATAAGCAAAAGCAAGGTAGGCATCAAAACCTAAGGCCAAGGGCCCCTCAAGTGCTAAAGCCATTACCAAGACAGATTATAAGAAGAAAAGTAATTCACCCTCTAAATCACAACAAATTAAAATGCCCAGAAGAATGAGATACACAATCCTTATTTGCCTTAAGTACTTTTTAAACATGAGGGTGGGAATGTGTCAACATATCATGGCACTATGCAAAAGAATTGAGACAGATCCTCCATTATGCATGAATTGTATCGGACCAAGTGAAGTAAGCCAACGTTAAGGTGTGACTGAGTTGCCAATCTGCCAGACCTAGCAACTTGGTTCCTCACCAGTTTATTCTTCAATAGAACTTTTTTCCCTTCCTTTAGCCCCATTCGCACTTTTCTTTAAATCAATACTGGACAGTTGACAATTTGTTATCTTTCATCTGTTCTAGCTAGGTTAATACAATAACCATAAATTATATCTTGTTCAACATGGCACCAGTTTTAAATAGAAGTATAAAGAGTTTAAAAACACACAGAAATGCTAAAAACTTATTTTGTTTCAAGGATTTTATGCTGTTGATTCTCAGTTCACTATACAACCTGATATGTCCTTCAAATTATGTGGCAATGTCATTACTAAATTATTTAGATTATAATGTCCTAATGGACAGCTGACATTCTTGTAAATTATAGTAATAGAACTTTGCACAAAACACCTTGTTGGCTAAGGAAAAGTTGGATAAGTTCTATTTGGTAATGATTAATTAGGAAATTCCAGAATGGAAACTCAAAGTATACAGGACTTTATGGCATATGACATAGCATGATATATAGTTCAAGTGATTCCTGGCAATGTTCAGGTTATATTAATGAGTTTACTCTTGTGCATGTACTTTCATTTACCTAGACTTAAGACTGGCTTCTGCTGACTTGCTGGAGTCTGTAGGAGTAGTAAAGCAATTCCAATTATGACCAGTTCAACAGGAAAATCCTATTTAAAAAAAAAAAAAAAAAAGTTGCAGCAGTTCCCAGAGCTATGGCTTTATAACATGTATCAAGGAAGAGTATACTTAATATAAAATATTACAAACATGTTATATGAAATTATTTACAGTAAGTCTGCTATTAAAGGAAGAATTGGTGAATACCATAGCAGTCACACATAAACCCAAAATGTTATCACATCTGGCTGAAAAGCAATAGGCTATAAACCAAATTGATTGTGAAGGAAAACTCCTTAACACAACAGACTGACAAGTGTTCCAAACAATCTTTGCAAACCACTGAAACTACCGGAAATACTTAATTTAAGGACATTTCATTTCTGAAAAGTAGCTCAATTATCTATTTACCTAATACAAACATGATTCATAACTTACATAATGAATTACATTTAAATTTTAATAAATCACAATTATAAGAAGAGAAACAGGGTCCAGGGAGGCAGAGATTATTTGTAAGTTACTGTAATTTATTAAGCATACTTAATATAGCAAAGCAGTAACCCTAGAAATTGAAAATCATTAACTTCACCAAGTATATATATATATATATATATATATGAAATCAAAAAAAGGATACATAAAGTTCTAATAAGTAAAAATGCAAGTGATATAAGGTGTTATTTGAAGTTCTAAATAAAGAAAACATTAATGAATTAGAAAGAAGAAAGGTCCAACACACTTGGCTAAAATTACTTCATTCTGAAATTTTGCAGAAGCACCTGCAGAGCAAAAATACTTACACATCATGAGGAAGGGCAAGGAAAAAAAAAGAAAATATGAGGTAGAGCCATGTGTTAAAGAAATACTTTAGAGAAGACTGCTTAGTGTGATAAACTTAGAAGTTACAATCTTAGAGAGGCTATCAACTCTGGCACAAATTGATAAATATAAAATATATATCTACATCTCAGTTATACCATTTGAAAAGTATAATTAATTGCTCTACAGTGTTTGTATATGGACTTTTAAAAAGCAGCAAAAGAAGAAATTTGTTACTTTTTCTAATGATGTATATTCTATTGTGTGTCTCTGGGGCTTATATATGTTCACTGTTTAGAAATACAGTTGATTAATGAAGCAGTTGTTATCTATCTGAGGACAATACATATACTTTTAAACAAATTCACTGACAGTATACACCAAAACACCATTCTTTGTCATTATCTTTTCCTCAATTTCAAGCTCTGCATGTTCATAAAAATAAAAAAAAAAAGAAAAGAAAACCAGTAAAGTCATTTAAATTTCAAATTTACTAGCTACCAAGAAGATTAGAGACTGAAAAAAAAAAGCATTATTTTATACTGATGCTCTCACTGGAAAGTCTTTTTTCACACAAGCTATCACCGGAAGGGCCACAAAGTAGCTTTAAAGGGTTCTGAAATGAACTAGAAGCATTTTAAGTGGATGGAAATGAAAGGTCTGAAGGCATAAATGAAAACAGCCTTCTGCAGCAATGAGACTGGCCTGTTCGGAAGACAGCTTAGCTTGCATGGAGAGGGGCTAGAAATCAAGACATCAAAAATAAGGAAAAGTAACAGTATAAGATTAGATAACCTTAAATTGCTTACAATTCTGAGAGGTCACAATTTTTTGTTTGGCTGATTGATTTGTAATTGTAACACCAAAGAATGGTACCACTTCATGAGATCTTTTAATAAAAGTCACGTTGGACATCTAATGTGCTTTAAATACAATAGCTGTTGCTGTAGTAACTTGCTTCCTGCCCAGACCACTGAGAGATCCAGAAGTACAGAAAAATTAAAGCCCCACTTGCCAAGTCTTGGCAAATTGATAGTAGAAGCCCAGGGATAAGTATTTCCCCTATTATTCTGGATCTTTCTGGAGGGTTGGGAAAGATTTCACAATACTTCTCAGAATGGTGGGATTGGGCAACTGGACACTTATAGCAGTGACCAACTTGTATCGCCTCTCCTGTCCTCAGTATTCCACTCTTATCTTCCCTCTCCCACCTGCCCTCTGTGATCACTCTTGCAAATGAACTACTGCTGCATAAGCAAATCCAGGCTCTGCTTTTTGACTTTAGGGGGACTCAGGGTCTATTTTTGGAGAAATCCAGGCTGATTTAGAACCTTTCTGAAGAAAGGAAGTAAAACAAAAAAGAAGGAAATGCCTTTATATTGGGCCACAAACGTCACAGTCTTAATGACAACAAAACCTTAGAATTCATACTTTTGTCCTCAATTCAAATAAAAAATATTGCTGAGAACCACATATGTACCAGACACTAAGTACATATGCTGGGCTTATGGATACCACTTTAAACAACATAGTATGCAAAGTTTTGTTTTGTTTTTTAAGTGAAAACAAGATGTAAGAAAGACTACATCAGATCTGTAGAAGGTACAGTAGAGATGGCCAGGCTCTCCACACAGAGGATGTGTGGCCAGGCTCACACATCCTCTACTGGTTTCGTTACCTACCCTGTCCTCTGCTCAGAGCTGACTGATCCACCTTGGATCAATCACATAATTTTTCCTAGGAATCTGAAAACTTAAACTGAGACATACAGTGAAAGGTGGGTGGAATTGAGTCCAGATGAGACATCTAAGAACTGATGTGTTAGAGAACATGGGTTCCTGGCCTTACTGAAGTAGGGATGTCCAGCTTTTGTTTCACCTTTGAAAGCTACCCAGTGTCCTCACAATCACTATCATTTTTGCCTAATATTGCTGATAAGTGTATATAATTTTGCTTAAAATGGTAAAGGACATTAAGTTATGATCATTCAAATAAAGCTAAAAAGAGTTCGAGTAAGACCAAATCACTGAAACTAATGTAGCCTAAGAAATGCACCCATTTTCAGTGTGCAATGAAATGTCCTTCAATGTAAAAGCAGACAAAGAACAAAGGGGAAAAGTTACTGAATTATTTGAACTGCACATCTAGCCAATAAATTCAGTGATATAGGAATATAGGGATAGCTACAAAACAGGTAATAAGAAAGCTTTATTCTACTTCATTTTGGTTCAAATTATACTATATTTAGGCCTAAATGATATGTTTGCTGATTAATTTTCCTAGGCATTTTTTTTTTTAAACCTCAGTAACACTGAGATGGAGTTGGGAGCAGGAAATATCACAATGCAAATATTTTAACAGTTCAATTTGTTTTTATTTCCTTGTAAAATTTTAAAATATAAAGAAGACACTACACACACACACACACACATAGTATTTACATAGAGAAGTATATATACTTCTCTCAGACACCACTGCATTGTTCTAAATGAAGGTATTTTGTAATTCTACAGAACAAACATGCCTGATGAACATAGATGCAAAAATCCTCAAAATATTAGCAGACCAAATTCAGTAATACATTTAAAGGATCATATACCATGATCAAGTGGGATTAACCATGCAAAGATAGTTCAATATCCACAAATCAATTAAAGGGATACATAAATAAAAGGATCAAAACCATGTGTCATCTCAATAGATACAGAAAAGGCATTTGACAAAATTCAACATTCATTTATGATAAAAACTCTCAACAAAGTGGAGTTAGAGAAAGAATACCTCAACACAATAAAGGCGATATGACAAACCCACATATTTTATAACATCATACTTATCATACTGAAAGCTTTTCCTCTAAAACCAGGATGGATGTCCACTCTTACCATTTTTAGTCAACACTGTATTGGAAGTCCTAGCCCAAACAATTATGCAAAGAAAATAGAAATAAAAGGCATCCAAGTAAAGGCAGAAGTAGAATTGTCACTAATCACATATGACATGATACTACATAGAGAAAACCCTAAAGCCTCAATCCAACAACCATTAGAATAAATGAATTCAGTAAAGTTGCAAGATACAAAAATATACAGAAGTCTGTTGCATTTCTATACATTAGTAAGTCATCAGAAAAAAATTGAGAGAACAAGCCCATTTACAACTGCATCAGAAAGAATAAAATATTTAGGAATAAGTCTAACCAAGAAAGTGAAAGACCTATACTCTGAAAACCACGAGACATTGACAAAAGCAAACGCAGAATGCATAAATAAATAGAAAGATATAGAGTGTTCATGGGTTAGAAGAATTAATACTGTTAAAATGTCCATGCTACCCAAAGCAGTCTACAGATCAATGCAATCGCTATCAAAATACCAATAGCATTTTTCACCAAAGTAGAATAGTCCTAAAATTTGTATGGAACCACACACACACACACACACACACACACACACTCTCTCTCTCTCTCTCTCTCTCTCTCTCTCTCTCTCTCTCTCTCTCTTTCTCCCTCTCTCTCTCTCTCACATGCACACACAAAGAGCCAAAGCAATCTTGAGAAATAAAAACAAAGTGATAACAGACATATTAAAATTTCTTAATATCCTTACCTCCTTTAGAAGTTCAACACCTTGCTCTAAAAGGTGAATTAAAGATGAGCATTCCCCAGTTATCCTTAAGCTGACCTCACAGACACACAGCAACTGAAGGGTCAGCTGGGTAAGCTGAGTTTTCCAGAAAACAGGATGACGCAAAAGGCTTAAATATACTTCTTCAATAAACAGCATCACTTCTGTTGTCTGTACCAAATCTTTCATCTGTTTAAAAAAGTCACTGTATGACATTAAAATACTATAAAAACCGAAGGATAATTTTAAGTTCTACAAGAAGCTTTAACAGTATTTTTCTCTAAACCCACAAAGATTCAAAAGAGATGATGAAATGTATTTAACTCAAAGTAGATTAAAATGCCTTCTCATTTTGTCACTAACCAAAATACAATTTGCTACTGTTTTTGTTACCACTGGCTGGCACAAGTTCTTTCCATTTATTTTTCTAACTTCTCTCTAAGTGCAGATTTTTTAAGACAAATTACATGACAGTGCCAACATGCTGAAATTCATTAAGCTGTTGTGCATTCTCCAAATGAACTCTCTGCAATTCCAACATAGTTACCTGGAAGAGAAGGGTTAGCATGTTATTCTAATGGACTACTAAACCCTTCATCTGGAAGATATTTGCTGAGAGTATCATTTCCACACTTGGCAGACACAATGAAAGACCATATTCAAATGGTAGGGTGTCTTCTCAACAGGCTAACCTATTAGATAGGAAGGACTTGGGTGCTCTTGAAAATCCCAATTCAATTCAAACCCAGCTGTTCTGATCAATATTCTGGAATTGGCATTAAAGATACAGTTCTGCCTTGCAGACACACTGGCATTTCCCAGAGATTACAAACAATGAACCATCTGCTTCAATCAGGAGTCTTGTGTCTGTTAAATTCATCAAGAGGAAAGCCTACAGTTGACCAGCTGTACCTTTCACCAGTATTACCACCATAATAACCCAAAAGGACTATAAGCTGTACACAGAAAATATCCTAGCAAACAAGAGAAAAAAAGATATTAGAAGATCAAGAGGGAAGGTACAGAAATACTAAATTACAAAAACTGTGAACAGTCCAGTAGCTGATTTTGCTCTTTTGCAAACATAAAATGGGAAAGGCAAAAGGCCACCAAGAAAGGGATTAAAAAAGTAAAGCCTTGTGTTTATTTAACAATATATTTCCTTGAGTGCATTTTCTGTGAATACTTGAAATTCTCTGTAATAAAAAAATTTTTTAAAGACCACCTCAACAAGTTAGGACTAAAGGCTCTCTCATCTTGAACATTACTGAAATTTTTAACAAGAACACCTTTGAAGTAATGTTCTGTGTTTATTTAGAAATAGATTATACACAATGGAAAACATGTGCAATGACAAGAGTCAATTTTAAGAAGAAAATTATTGGGACAAAAGTCAATAGTTTGAGAAAGCTAAGCCCAAAGGAGACAATTCCACAAAGACAAAATGGAAGCACAATTAACATGAAAAGAAAAATGGAAGCATCAGGGTCAACAGGGCGGCATGGCTATTTCTCCAAAAAATTTTCAAGTAAGTGATTCTTATTTAAGTGTTAATATGGATCAGACCTCATCTATAGTGCTGTATTTAGCTCTAAGAAGAATATTTCAAACTAACACACTGCAAACACCAATAAACTAGAGAATTCCTGGCAAAGGACAGTGAAAAGTCTGGAAACCATTTCGTGTGAAGTAAAGAAACTTGATGAAGCAAAGAAAGGCAGGAGGGAGGGAGAAAGGAAGGAAAGGACAGCAAGGGAGGAAGAGAGAAACACAAGATGCAGAGAGGCTTTTTAAAAAGCTTACTTTGTTTTGTTCTGAGAAGAACAGGAACTAATGGGTAAAGTCTTAGGAAAATGGAGGTCAATTTAGTACTTGATAAAATTAAATAAATAAATGGTTGCCTTGCAAAATAGCATGCTTCCTATCACTAGAATATTTAGTCGTGGAAAGGTTGTTTATTCGAGTATAAAAAATACTTGTAATCGATGGGAAAATGGATTACATTACTGATAATATTCCACCCAACTCAGATTCTTCATTCCAATAAAGCTGATTCGTTGAGTGATTAAATGGAATTAAGCAACATAAATACATTAGTTCTAAATGATACAGCCCTTTTTTCTCACCTATCTCGACTATATTAACAAGCCATAGATTCCCAGAAATATTCCCCAGAGCTCAGTTCTAGAATTCTTTAGGCTTGTCAATATGGGTTCATGAGGATGAAGGCAATAGCTATTATCAAAGAGCACAGAACAGGGAAACGCAAGCATGGTGTGGAAGAGCATTACCCTAGCTCAAGATGTCCTGCCCTGCTTTATTGCCCACACGAAACAAAAGCTTGGGGAAACACACAAGAGAATTCGTTTTAATTAACTTTTCTCTGCTTTGATTACAGGAAAGCCTATTTATGAGTCACAAAAGGAAGATACACTCTAGTCACTCCTTGCTAACACAAACTTAAAACATATCATCTGTGACCTCCAGTGATCACTTCAAAAAATATTCACAGATTCCCTCCATCAGCTAAGCAGCATGGTGCCCCGACTCTAGGCACCTGACAAGCCTCAAAGAGGAGATGGCCTGGCCTGATCAATGAATCACTACACTAAAAATCACAACTGGCAACTAGAATTTTTGTTTTTATATCTGTGGTTGTAAAGACATTAGCTCAAATTTATGTCTCCCCGGAACTCTCTAGGCATTGTATCCATACCTCTGTTAAACATCTTACATCCATCTCCTTTGAATTATGAGAATATATAAACTTGTCTTAATTCCCTTACTAGACGGTGGGCTTCTCAACAACATGATCCATTAGGGTCACTGTATATGTTGTAAGGGGACATGTGGAAATCAGAATCTAGCCAGCATTTAGCTGGTCAAGCCCAACCAGGCTTTACCTGTCCAGAGACACACCTTTTCCTAATTTGAACAAAGGTTCCTCCCACCTTTGTAAGAAACTGAGTGTCTAGCACAAGAAGAAATTTAATTCAAAATTTTATCCCTGAACATTCTTTCTTTTTTTAACTTTTTTTATTAAGGTATCATTGACATACAATCTTATGAAGGTTTCACATGAAAAACATTGCAGTTACTACATTCACCCATATTATTGAGTCCCCCCCATACCCCACTGCAGTCACTGTCCATCATAGTAAGATGCCACAGAGTCACTACTTGTCTTCTCTGTGCTATACTATCTTCCCCATGACCCCCCAAAACACCATGTGTGCCAATCATAATACCCCTCGATCTCCTTCTTCCTCCTTACCACCCACCCTCCCACATACCTCCCCTTTGGTAACCACTAGTCCCTTATTAGAGTCTGTGAATCTGCTGCTGTTTTGTTCCTTCAGTTTTGCATAATTGTTATAGTCCACAAAAGAGGGAAATCATTTGGTACTTGTCTTTCTCCACCCGGCTTATTTCACTGAGCATAATACATGTCGTTGCAAATGGTAGGATTTGTTTACCTCTTATAGCTGAATAATATTCCATTGTGTATATGTACCACATGTCCTTTATTATCTACAGATGGACACTTAGGTTGCTTCCAACTCTATTGTAAATAGTGCTGCAATAAACATAGGGGTGCAAATGCCCTTTTGAATCTGGGGTCTTGTTTACTTCAGGTAAATTCTTAGAAGTGGAATTCCTGGGTCAAATGGTATTTCTATTTTTAGTTTTTTGAGGAACACCATAGTACTTTCCAAAATGGTTGAATGAATTTAAATTCCCAACAACAGTAAGAAGGTTCCTCTTTCTCTGCATCCTCACCAGCATTTGTTGTTCTTGTCTTTTCAATGTTAGCCATCCTAACTGGTGTGAGGTGATATCATTGTGGTTTTAATTTGCATTTCCCTGATAATTAGCAAAGTGGAGCATCTTTCCATGTGCCTGTTGACCATCTGAATTACTTCTTTGGAGTAGTATCTCTTCAGATCCTCCGCCCATTTTTTAATTGGGTTATTTGCTATTTGAGTGTTGAGGCATGTGAGTCCTTTATATATTTTGGATGTTAACCCCTTGTGGGATCTGTCATTTACAAATATATTCTCCCATACTGTAGGATGCCTTTTTGTTCTGTTGATGGTGTCCTTTGCTGTACAGAAGCTTTTTAGTTTGATGTAGTCCCATTTGTTCATTTCTACTTTTCTTTCCCTAGCCCAAGGAGATGTGTTCAGGAAAAAGTTGATCATGTTTATATTCAGGATATTTTTGCCTATGTTTTCTTCTAAGAGTTTCATGGTTTCATGACTTACATTCAGGTCTTTGATCCATTTTTAGATTACTTTTGTGTATGGGGTTAGACAATAATCCAGTTTCATTCTCTTGCATGTAGCTGTCAAGTTTGCCAACACCAGTTATTGAAGAGGCTTTCATTTCCCCACTGTATGTACATGAATCCTTTATCATATATTAACTTACCATATATACTTAGGTTTATATATGGGCTCTCTAGTATGTTCCATTGATCTATGGTTCTGTTCTTGTGACAGTACCAAATTATCTTGATTACCGTGGCTTTGCACTAGAGCTTGAAGTCAGGGAGAGTAATCCCCCTGGCTTTATTATTCCTTCTCAGGATTGCTTTGGCTATTTGGGGTCTTTTGTGGTTCCATATGAATTTTAGAACGATTTGCTCTATCTAGTTCATGAAGAATACTGTTGGTATTTTGATAGGGATTGCATTGAATCTGTACATTCCTTAATCAGGATGGCCATTTTGACAATATTAATTCTTCCTATCAATGAGAACTTGATGTGTTTCCATTTACTGGTATTTTCTTTAATTTCTCTCATGAGTTCTTATAGTTTTCAGAGTATAGGTCTTTCAATAACTTTGTTAGGTTTATTCATAGGTATTTAATTATTTTTGATGCACTTGTGAAAGGAATTGTTTTCCTGAGTTCTCTTTCTGCTAGTTCATAATTAGTGTATAGAAATGCAACAGATTTCTATGTAATTTCATATCCTGAAACTTTGCTGAATTCAGATATTAGAACGAGTAGTTTTGGAGTAGATTCTTTAGGGTTTTTTATGTACAATATCATGTCATCTGCAAACAGGGACAGTTTAACTTCTTCTTTATCAATCTAAATGCTTAATTTCTTTGTGTTGTCTGATTGCCGTGGCGAGGACCTCCAGAACTATGATGAAGAGTGGGCATCCTTGTCTTGTTCCCAATGTTAAAGGAAATGTTTTCAGCTTCTTGCTGTTAAGTTAAGTATGATGTTAGCTGTAGGTTTATCATATATGGCCTTTATTATGTTGAGGTACTTGCCCTCTATAGCCATTTTGTTGAGTCTTTGCATGAATGGATGTTGAATTTTGTCAAATACTTTTTTGGCATCTATGGAGATGATCATGTGGTTTTTATCCTTCTTTTTATTGATGTGGTGGATGACGTTGATGGATTTTTGAATGTTGTACCGTCCTTGCATCCCTGGAATAAACCTACTTGATCATGATAGATGATCTTTTTGAAGTATTTTTTACTTCACTTTGCTAATATTTTGTTGAGGATTTTTGCATGTATGTTCATCAGGGATATTGGTCTGTAATTTTGTGTTTCTTTTGTTGTGTTTTTGCCTGGTTTTGGTATTCGAGTGATGCTGGCCTCATAAAATGAGTTTGGAAGTATTCCCTCCTCTTCTACTTTTTGGAAAACTTTAAAGGGAATGGGCATTAGGTCTTCACTAAATGATTGATAAAATTCAGTGGTGAAGCCGTCTGGTCCAGGGGTTTTGTTCTAGGTAGGTTTCTGATTACCAGTTCAATTTTGTTGCTAGTAATTGGTCTGTTCAGATTTTCTGTTTCTTCCTTGGTCAGCCTTGGAATGTTATATTTTTCTAGAAAATTGTCCATTTCTTCTAGGTTATTTATTTCTAGTTTCGTTATCATTAGGTAATGTCCTTCTTTGTCTCTTGTGACTTTCTTTGTTTTGAAGTCTATTTTGTCTGATACAAGTACTGCAACTCCAAATTTTTTCTCCCTATTAGGTGCATGAAATATCTTTTTCCATGCCTTCACTTTTAGTCTGTGTATGTCTTTTGGTTTGAAGTGTGTCTCTTGTAGGCAGCATACAGGTGGATCTTGTTTTTTTATCCATTCAGTGACTCTACGTCTTTTGATTGGTGCATTGAGACCATTTACATTTAGGATGATTATCAATAGGTATGTACCTATTGCCATTGCAGGCTTCAGATTCATGGTTACCAAAGGGTCAAGGATAACTTCCTCATTATCTAAGAGTCTAACTTAACTCACTTAATATGCTATTACAAACACAATCTAAAGTTCTCTTTTTTTTTCTCCTTTTTCTTCCTTCTCCATTCTTTATATATTAGGTATCATATTCTGTACTCTTTGTCTATCCTTTGATGCTGAGGGTAGTTGATTTAATTTTGCATTTGCTTAGTAACTTACTGTTCAACTTTCTTTGCTGTGGTTTTATTACCTCTGGTGACAGCTATTTAGCCTTAGGAACACTTCCATCTATAGCAGTTCCTCTAAAATACACTGTAGAGATGGTTCCTGGGAGGTAAATTCTCTCAGCTTGTGCTTATCTGGAAATTGTTTAATCCCTCCTTCAAATTTAAATGATAATCTTGCCAGAAAGAGTGTTCTTGGTTCAAGGCCCTTTTGCATAATTGCATTAAATATATCATGCCACTCCCTTCTGGCCTGTAAGGTTTCTGTTGAGAACTCTGAGGATTACCTGATGGGTTTTCCTTTGTATGTGATGTTTTTCTCTCCCTTGCTGCTTTTAACAGTCTGTCCTTATCCTTGATCTTTGCCATTTTAATTATTATATGTCTTGGTGTTGTCTTCCTTCAGTCTCTTGTGTTGGGAGATCTGTGCACTTCCATGGCCTGAGAGACTATGTCCTTCCCCAGATTGGGGAAGTTTTCAACAATAACCTCCTCAAAGACACTTTCTATCCCTTTTTCTCTCTTTTTCTTCTGGTAACCCTGTAATACGAATATTGTTCCGTTTAGATTGGTCACATAGTTCTCTCAGTATTCTTTCAGTCCTAGAGATCCTTTTTTCTCTCTGTACCTCAGGTTCTTTGTATTCTTCTTCTCTAATTTCTATTTCATTTATCATCTCCTCCACCGTATCTAATCTGCTTTTAAATCCCTCCATTGTATTCCATAATGATTGAATCTCCATCCTGAATTCATTTCTGAGTTCTTGAATATTTTCTGTACCTCCATGAGCATGTTTATGATTTTTACTTTGAAATCTCTTTCAGGAAGATTGATGAGTTCAGTTTCACTTGAACCTTTTTCTGGTGTTTGAGGGATTTGTGTTTGAACCAGGTTCCTTTGGCATTTCATATTTGTATGTGGCACCCTCTAGTGTCCAGAAGCTCTACTCTCTGGAGCTGCTGAGCCCCTGGAACTCATGTGTCACAGGGGAGTGGTGGTGGTGCCTGGGGAGGAGTAAAGAGCTGTTTCCTGCTTCCCAGCTCCTATGCCTGTCTCCACTGCCAGAACCAGTGGGCCAAACACACAGATGTAAACCTCTATGCTTTGCATTTATAGCTGACATAGGCAGGGCTTCTCTCTGACTGGCCTGACACTAGGGTAGGGGCTGCCGGTTTGCAAGCCAGGTGCAGGCTGGCCGGGAGGAAGGTGCAGCAGACTGCGTATTATGGTGGGGGGCTTGGAGCTGCATAGCCAGCCAGGGGGATGGAACACCTGAAGCTCCTGAAAGTTCTCAACCTTCTGGGCAGAGTGTGCCTGGACAATTTTGTCTACCTGTCCATTCTCCTGAGCAGTAAGTTCTGTGCAATCCTTGCCCCTTTAGCAGCCCTCTTGCTGTTAGGAAGTCTCTCAGATTGTCTGCCTTTCTTTTGTCCCAGAGCAGCCAGATATGGATCTCTGTTTCCCACAAGCAGCTGGAATCTCAGTCTTTCCAGGTATTCCACCTGTCTTATCTTCCCAAACCCACTAATCACCAGAGCACCATGCAATGTAGGTTCGTGATCCCATAGAAGATCTCCAGGGCTAGGTGTTCAGCAGTCTCCAGACTCTACTCCCTCCCCACTCTGTTTCTCTTCCTCCCACCGGTGAGCTGGGGTGGGGGAAAGGCTTGGGTCTCACTCAATTGTGGCTTTGGTATTTTACCCTTTTTTGTGAGGTCTGCTTTTTTCTCCAGGTGTAGGCAATCTGTCACAGCCTTCTTTCCTGTTGCTCTTTCAGGATTAGTTGTATTTGCTACATTTTCAAAATATATGTGGTTTTGGGAGGAGGTTTCTGTCTCACCTCTCATACCACCATCTTTAAGCCCCCTGAAGATTCTTTCTTAACTGAAGTTTTCATTCCCTCTAATTCTAAAATGGACTATGCTGATTTACATTTCTGTAAATTTAGTTACCATTGTACATATTAATATTAAATCTAGATTTGCTTCCTTCATTATCTCTAAATGCCTATAAGCATTTCTGAAGCTAGAATTGTGACCAAATTTGCCAAACCACATAGGTTCTATTTTATGTATGGCAACAATAATCAATACTTACCAATGCTGATACTACATCAGTGAAGGAGAAGAAAAGCCTTACCTGCAAACATGGAACCATTTCACAACACACTTGAATTATCTGCTGTTCCAATATGGATGGCTGCTCTTTGTCACAAAGAGCCCGGGGTTGAAGTAACACTTTAAGCAGGGCTAGTCGGAGATGAGCATATTCTTGTAACTGGGATGGTTCACAATATAGATACCACAGAAATGGTGCCATTATTTGGATACATGAAACTTCTGACCTACAAGTAAGTCATGTAATGGATAAACCAGTCACTGAGTTAAACAGATAAGCAAACAGGTAAATGTCAAATATCAGCTTATAGTTCATGATAGATAATAAATTACAATACCATCAAGTGTAACATTTCTTTCATGATTCTTCTATTCCACTACAAGCTGCTTAGACCGAGAACAAGGCCTAAGAAGTTCTTTGTGCACTGGGGAAAATGACTCAGCACCTGGAGACCACAGCCTAATGTTCAGGACTAAGAGTCTCTACTGCACACTAGAATAGCATCTACATCTCCAGAACCAGTCTATTGTGAATACCAGAATCATCTGAGGACCTTCTTAGAATTATGGATATCAGGATCCATTTTTCTGGCGTATGACACAGGCATGCATTTTTGGAAAAACTCTGTAGGTGAAGTTCTATGTAAAATAAAGCCATATAGATACCTCAAGATAACAATTACCATTTACTTGTCAACTTGCTAAAGATTTACGGTGTGTAAGTTACTACACTTCATGCCTTTAAATTCATGTGATCCTCACCACAACCCCATGTAATAAGATTATTCCATTATGCAGATAGAGAAACCGAGGCAGATAAAGTGAAGTAATTTGTGAAGTCCCTCCTTTTAAGCTATTCCCTCCTTTTAAGCTCTTCTCACTTAAAGGAAGAAGGCCTTACAAAACTTTCAAATCTATTTAGATTTCAATATACCCTAATAACTCTAAGCCCAAAGTCACTAAAATGCTAGAATTACATTTCAGATACAAAAATTTGATCACATCATTAGCCAGCTTAAAGAGCTTACCCTTAGGAAAAAGTATTTAGCCCAATTCACAAACCCTCCCTAATTTGGCCTCTGCTCATCTTTCTAGCCTAATTTCTTACTCCTCTCAACTCTCTACTGAGCTACACTGAACTTCCTTCAGATCTTCAATCAAGCCATCTTAACTTTCTCTCACTTGCTGTTACCTCTCCCCTTCCTTTCTTGTTCCTTCCTCCACCTAATTCCTGTCATCTTCCAGGTCTCTCTTTTAAAATGACTTCCTACCTGGGTCAAATCCCCATTATGTGCTTACAGGACAATGACTTGTCATTATTTATGTAATATCTCTATCTACCACCAGACTATAACCCAAATGAGGGCATGAACCATGGATTTCTGCTTACTGCTGTATCACCAATAACTGTACACACTAGGTATCCAAAGAGATGCTCCATCAATCACTAATCAATTCATTTATACTGTTAGAGTTTTATAATTAGCATGCCTTAAATATCGTGTTAATATTTTTCATATTTATAATACATAAAGAATTATTTGATAAGACATAAAGATGAATTAGGCATTATCTATCCTTAACCATTCAGTATAATGGGGGCAACCAGTTCTGTTCCTAGACAAGAGGAAAATGAAAACTGTTAAAAGAAACATATCAAGCTAAAAAAAACAACAAAACAGAACGAACAAAATAGCAGTAGACTCATAGACAATGTGAAGTGACTGGCGATTACAATGGGGGAAGGGTTAGAATGGGTGAGTGGGAGAGTGAGGGGTATAAATAGGCACAAAAATTCTCTCTCATAATAAGAGTTGGTCACGGGGACAGGAGTACAGCACGGAGAACACAGCCAATGATTCTGTTGCATCTTCCTATGTTGACAGATAGAAACTGCACTAGTGGAGGTGAGGATTTAATAAGATGGATAACTGCTGAAACATTGTGTTGTATGCTTGAAACTAATATAAGATTATACTATACTTCAATAAAAAAAGGTATAAAGTGCTATACTTCATGAAAGAAATGGCATTTTAATTATGCTTGACAACATAATTTTATACTACTATACATTCCACAGCAACATGATTTCAAACAACATTTAACATTTTAAAAAGTTCTTAATTACCAAATAATATTTAATGTATTCATTCACTTATTCACTTGGCAAAAATTTACTGAGCACCTACAGTGTATCATTCACTCTTCTATGTGCTAGAAACAAGGCAAGAAAAAGAAAACAGACTAAACCCTTGCTCTGATTAAGCTTACAATCTGGAGGAATTTCCCCTCATGAGCACAAATACATCATCTCCAAACAAACAAAAGGAGGACTTCAGAGTCCATATATATTACTGAAACATTATCTTCATCCCAATAACCACTTCAGGAAACTAAAAAAGCTTCACAGATCAAGCAATCAGATGATGTATGTGTGGGTTAGAATATGAAGCATAAGCTTCTAGGAAAGAGATTTAAGAATCATTGTTTCTCCATCTCCCTCTAATAACATATTCTCCAAAGAATAAATACTTCCCTTTGTCAAGAACATCCACGAATAGCTTATCAAGTTTCTCCTACCTTGAAATGCTGAAGGTGAACTGTAAGGTGCATTTAAAGAAATATATTTCTAAGATGCCGTTATTACTTGACATCAGGGGCATAATGTCAAGTTTCAGTAAGGCAATATGCTATGTAAAAATCTCTTTGCCTTAATCTGTCTTGATTTTAGATTTCAGATTTCCTATATGGTACCTGATGATTAACTCTCTCTCCAATGATTTATGAAACTGACAGGCCTTAATAGAAAAGAAAAATAAATTAAAAAGATAATCTGAATTCCCAAGTGATTATGAATGTTTAAAAATGAGCAAAGATTTAAAATAGAGAAGTTAGTCAGGACAGGGTTGGAGTAAGATTTAAGAAAGTAAGGGGGTACTAAGAAACAAAAACACAGAGGCAAGGGAATAGCACTGCCTCCTGTGTGGAACAGAAAGCAGGTCAGTGTATTACTGAATACACAGTTCATCAACTATGAAATAAAGAAAAGATAAAACTGTTGTAACAGATAGAAATCATATCATACACAGAACCTAGCATGACATAATAGGTTTTATCTGTAGTCCAGAGATTTTCCAACTCTTTCAGAACCCAAACTATTGTTTCCCAGTAGAAAGCTTCCATAAGATATCAACATGTAAGTGCTATAGAAACAGAGCTGAAGGGGTCAGGGGTGTTCTCTATGTTTAGCTCATGCTTAGAAAGTCCAGTTTGAAAACCACAGTTGTGGCAAGCTAAGCAAGGGAGTGACACAGTAAGATTTGCTGTTTTGATGTATCGCTCTGGTGGATGTTTAGGAATGGCTTTGAGCAGGATGAGATTAGAGGCAGAGGTGACAGGAACAGGTGCAACAGCAAGACATGACAACCTGAGCCAGTGCCATGGTCATAAGGATGGAAGAAATGGGGTATCTTCAAAGACCATCAGAAGGACTTGGGGAAGCACCACACTGAAATGAGGGGCATGAGCTATCACCTTTCATTAATCTTCCAGCTGATAGTGGCATCTATGACTATTTAAGATGAAAATCCAGCACATTACATGTATGGTACCTATCTATCTGGTCTCCGCTGGCAGTATTACTTGATCCCAACTGGCAGGTTTCTAATGGAGAAATGAAATCACTAATCAATATAAAGGGGGAAGAACATATCTTTTATGTGTATTATGTAGTATTTACCAAATATTTCTAATCAACTTTCCTAACTACCCAATGCTTAACTTCTTTAATAATATCTTTTCTCACATTCAATATTTCAACAATACATCTGTAGGTTTTTTTCTCTCACTCTTAAAAGAAAATAGAAAGCTATATCCTGCTCTAAGACATTTCTTCAGGAGAAAAGATTATAGTCAAAACGGCTTAAAAAAAAAACTCTAAACTTAGCATAGACCATTTTATCTCCCTCATTTATTTTATTTTATTTTGCATTACCTTTCAGGGCATTGCTGGAAAAATACGGTCAGCTGCTGCAAAAGTACTGGCCAGCAATCAGGTCTGTGTTCAAGCACAGTGATCAAAGGCTGAGGACGACTTCTGAAAAACACAGAAAGTCACATTGGAAACTGTCATTTCAGGACTACACATCCTCAGTATTCAAATATAGCACAAAAAGCCAATACCATCTAGAAACTTTTTTCTAGGATTCATAATTGTCACCAATTATCATTCGCTGCATTTGTTGTAGATTTGGCTCATTAGAACTGATATTTTTTCGTTTATCTAACTGTTTTGCATAAAAGAATGAACACCAAGTCTTGGAGATCCAAATTTTAGAAAGGACTCTGCTATTTAATAGTTCAATGACTTTGGCCAAGCTCCTGGACCCAGTAGCTCTATCATATCCACCCCGTTGACACTTATTCCTGGAAGTTGTAGGCCACCTCCTCTTCTGCTGCTCTTTTCCCAAACCTGGAAGGTTCCATTTCCTCTAACACTGCTCTATTGTCAGCACTCTATCTCCGTTTCTGTCCCACTTAACCCTATTTGTCATTCTGTGTTCCCCAAGCATACTTAAAATGAGGAAAAAGAAAATACTCCCATCTCAAATAACAAACTCTCCAACTGAAAATTCTTGAAATTTCTGTTGAACAAGGATAGTCTTTTTATTGGAGCTACACCAACTAAGATACTTTAAAAAACTATATGAAACATAAGATATGAAATCTCAATAGGATTCTCAATAGGGTTAAAAAATGAAAAAAAAAAGCACAAATACAAATTATTTTAAAATCGTTCAAAAAGCCTACAAGAAATTGTAAATTCATCAGCTTCTTAAACTACGAAGTACCACAAAAAGCTTGGTTATTATTGATGTGGATTTTTCCTCTAAGAAAAACTTAAGTAAAATAAAAAATAAAAAACACCACATCATTTTTTACATAAAAGAATCACATTCATAATGGTATTCTTCTGTCTTTAATTTGTAACCCAGCAATATATATAACTAGCAAAGTTTAAAAAAAAAGAAAAGAACAATGAGACCATCAGCTACACCCCAATTTTTTTTTTAAAGAATGACTTCTTAGTGGTTCTCAAAGTGTGATCACCCTACTAGTGATATAAAGAACTTATTAGAAATGCAAGTAAATTCTCAGTCCCCAGCCCAGATGTAATAAACAGCTCTCCAGACAATTCTGATGCATTGCTATAAAGCAATGGTTCTCAACCCTGGTTGCATATCAGATTCATCTGTGGAGCTCTTTAAAAAATACCAGGGCCCAAAACCAAGAGCTGGTTCTTTGAGAAAATGAACAAAATAGATAAGCATCTAGCCAGACTTATTAAGAGAAAAAGAGAAATCAACACACATCAACAGAATCAGAAATGAGAAAGGAAAAATCACGACGGACCCCATAGAAATACAAAGAATTATTGGAGAATACTATGAAAACCTATATGCTAATAAGCTGGAAAACCGAGGAGAAATAGACAACTTCTTAGAAAAATACAAACTTCCAAGACTGACCAAGGAAGAAACACAAAATCTAAACAAACCATTTACCAGCAAAGAAATTGAAGCAGTAATCAAAAAACTACCCAGGAACAAAACCCCCAGGCCAGATGGATTTACCTCGGAATTTTATCAGACATATAGAGAAGACATAATACCCATTCTCCGTAAAGTTTTCCAAAATATAGAAGAGGAGGGAATACTCCCAAACTCATTCTATGAAGCCAACATCACCCTAATACCAAAACCAGGCAAAGACCCCACCAAAAAAGAAAATTACAGACCAATATCCCTGATGAATG